TTTGCCAATCCCTTTCTGGATGTAGGGAAGCAACCCGGCACACAGCCAGGGCAGCTGGGCCTCCAGGTAGGCTGATCTGCTGACTGTGTCCAGTCCCACCAAGTCCTACTTCTCAAACGGGATGCAGGGGAGGGGAATCTTGTCCCTAGAATTGTTGGGGACCCGTCCAGGCTGTTGGACAGGATCACGACAAAGAGTGACTCGATGATGTCTGCAACCCTTTTCTCCACTACTCTGCAGTCCTTGTAGGTTGAAGGCCACATCAGTGGGCGGCTGCTTGACCACCTCCCCATGTAGCCCAAAGGCAAAGAGCTGAGGGTCGTAGAGCGTGGTGCCATACAGCTCCTCTGCACGTGGAGCTTCTAGAAGGTCTTGGCCAAGAGGCATTTGGTAATGGTGACAAGGCCCACGACCTTGCAGTGGGTGTGGAAGTCGCTCCACACATTCTTGGGCCCGTAGTGGTGACTGTCGTGGATACAGAGTGCCCACTGGGAGCCACACGGGCTGATCTGGCTCACCGAGGGGATTCACTTATAGATGCAAAAGAAATTCTCCTTTGAGACGATCCCCAACAGGTTGGACCACCACGGGGAGATTCTGGTTGTCCTCAGCACACTGCACATAGTAGGGATGCTCATGTTGCAGGCCCTGCTGAGAGGAGAGAGGAGACTGAGGTACACACTCTGCTGTGGGCTGCAGGCCCTTCTGGGATGCGGTGACCTGATGTGTAGCAGCCGTAAGGCAGGGAAGCCCAAGCAAAGCCAGGGGTACAGTTTGTCCTCAGCATCTGCACATGGTTACCATAGCTCGGATCACATTACCCAGCTTTTGGTCTAGGCTTCCAGCTCCTGCAGAAAAGGGTCATTTCTTGTTTTCAGTTTCCAACAAATAGCCAGGCCCTGATGCAATGAAGTGCTCAAAAATGCTGAATACGGGAATGAACAAAGGAACTGCTTTCCCCACCCCCTTCAGCAGAATATAAAGAAAAGAAACACAGTGGGATCGAAAGATCTGGATTTCAACTCCAATTTACTTGAACACCTAAGATGCAGAATAATGGATAAGAAAACTTTCCTTGGGGAGGAGGGTACAGTTCTGTGTCAGAGCCCATGCATAGCATGTATGAGGTCCTGGGTTCAATCTCCAGGACCTCCATTAAAAAAAAATGAAACAAATTAATAAACCTAATTACCCCACATCAAATATTCATTTTTTAAATTCAAAATTCAAAAAAAGACCTTGCAATTGACACAACATTGTAAACTTGACTATACTTAAATAAAAAAAAAAAACCTTGCCTTACAAGAATATATCTGGATTATGGAAGTTTGCAAATGTAAAATGCCTAGGGTAAAATCTGCATAAAAAGTAGGGGGCTGTACACATTTACTATCCCTCCTTTATGAGCTATATTTCCTTTGCAGTGGGCTAAAACGTCTCAGAGCTAAATTTCTCAGATTAAAAAAAAGAAAACATTACCTGATTCTCAGTACTGCTGAAGAATTAGATAACCCTATGAAAGCATCTGACCCACAGAGGTTACTCAATAAATGTTTGTTGAATGAATGAATAAACACGCAAGTGAATACTGCCCCTGCCACAGATAATCACAATGGTGCTGCCTGGAAATCCTTAGCCCACGTTCCACCTGACTCTACACAAACCATGTGGGTGACCTGGGCAGGCCTGTGTGCTTCTCTAAACCCCAGTTTATTCATGAATAGAAATGGGAGTAATAACACAAACCTCAAAGGGTTAGTGAGTCAATAACAAATTGTACTACAATTTTGCAAGATGGAATCATGAAAGAAAATTGGGCAAAGAGTCCATAGGCTCTCTCCATATTATCTCTTACAACTGCATGGGAATCTACTTTACATCTCAAAATAAAAAGTCCAATTTTATTAAAGAGGCTATTGAGATTAAATGAGCTCACTGTCTTATATAAGGAACACACAGTACAAATAGGACAATGCACAGCCCATGAGATACACTCAGTAAACGTTCCCACCAATCCCACTGGTCCCTCCAACTCCAGAGCACAAGGATGGGTCCTCATGGCCACAGGCCACTGCACCTGAAGCTAACAAAGCTAATGGTCCCCACTTCCAAGAGCCCCTGCCTCCACCCTAGGTCTAATTTTGTATTTGTAACTTTCTTTTCTTATACTTAAATAGTAATACCCAATTGCATAGCCTTCAGGTCACCAAAACCTGACCACGGAAATCATGACAGCAGCCCTCCCCAGTGTAACAATAAAATTAAAAGCCATATCCACAAGAAGTCTGTGTAATTCTAATGGCAGGAACTTCATCCTGGACTGAGAGGAAGAGGACTGGGGAGGAGGAGGAAACTGGGGCCCCCGGACCCAGGGGCCACCTGTCCCATGATGGAATTTAGACTCAACCCACACACTCCAGGAAATTCAAATTACACATAGACAGAGTGCTATGGACAAGATTTTTTTTTTAAAGAAACCCCTGATTATCTAACAGGTCATGTTTCTACTGAGACACAAATGGCTTATGTGTATATTGTTTCACAAAAAAAAAATAATATCACTCCAACTTGACACATGAAGAAACGGAGGAAAAGAGAGGTTTATCACATTATGCAAGATTAGAGAAAGGCCACATCAGAGGCTGTATTTAAATCCAAGCCCCTGCTCCAGTTCTCACACTAGAAAGTGTGACATACTGCCTTCCTCCTGCCCCCTCCCTGCAATAAATCTCTTAAGTCTTTTCTGTGCTATCTGGAAAGAACCAAAGTCACATTAACTTTCCACAAAGAGCTGTGTCAGCCCTTGGAGGATGTATCAAAATCTGAAGAATTAGGGTTGGAGCAGAGATTTGAGTTCTCTGTTTCTCAAAAGGAGACATGGGTTTAAAAGAAACCAAAAAGCAATTATCTAGTCTAAGCCCTCATTGTGCAGAGAAGGAAATGGAGGCTCACAAGAGATGAGGAAAGGGCCTTATTTACAAATCTTGCCTCAGCGCAGCACCAAGCCAGCCCTGGGCACTGCTGGGGAAGGATATGGGAGGCCCAGGAGAATAAATGTTAGAGAAAGGAAAGGGAAGAAGCATACAAGCCCTCTCTCTACAC